TTTCCCCTTGTAGAGATTCATCTCACCTTTGAGATGAAGGGACATGAAAGAAGGCCTCATTGATGATCTTAAAGTCCAGGTAGGTAGCGATGGGAAAAGGTGCTCCAGCGTAGTGGTAAAGAACTGGAGTAATATGTTTGTAACAGCCAGTTCTAGTAAGCAGTCAAGCTGCTCTATTTTGAAATAATTGACGTTTCCGGGCCATTTTCAAAGGCAGCCCCACGTAGAATTCATTGCAATAATCCAATTGGCAAATTGTCAGAGCATGAGTAATAATGCCTAGACAGGGAATACTGGCCACTGGGCTATAGATGTTTTTATCCTCTAGGTCCAGATTTGGTGTCTTAAGAAATGGCCTGAACACTTCTTAAGAGGCCAGAACAGCTCCATCTCTCAATGAGGCATTTATGACTTCCTGGAATCAGCTGGACAGCCCTTCCCTACTAGTTTTGATAAACCCAGAAGGCTGAGTTTTAGGCCTCAATAACTGAAACTCATTCAACAAAACAGGACAGGAAGATGCTCTGGACACTTCCACTTCTGGAGTTGCATTAACTCAGGACAAATGCAAGCAACTCAATCTTCAAAGTGTGTTGTGAATTTCACACAGGGGACTACTGAGGATACAACAGCCTCTTTCTTTGGGATAGATTCCAACAGGCCCCTCACCACTTGGAAAAGCTCTATCTGACCATTCAGTTCAAGTTCTCCTCCACTTGGGTTCTAGCTGTCAACCCACTTGCTTCACAGCTCTCATCTCAGACATGTACTAAGGTGCTGCTCAGGCTTTGCAAGCAAGCAGAAGGAGATTAGGAGCTACTGTGTCAACTGTCCAGGACAATTTTGTATTCCACAGAGCAACCAGGGCACTGACAAGAGCACCAGCCATACCAGCAATTCTCCCAGAGCCCTCTGGATTCTAGAAGCATCCATTAGTCTCCAGGGGCAAATCATCTTATTTAGATCTCCCATGCTTATGGAGGAGAAAAGCTGCTGACAGACTAAACTTCACCAGGAAATGTTATGACAATGACATGGGGGTGACTGTTAGGTCTCCCACATTCAGATCATTTTCCTCTGGCATATGAATTCTTGACTCAGTTGCATGAAAGATGCAGATTAGATGGCACTCCATGAGGTGTACTCTGACAAATGCAGCTCCGAATAATGTTCAACTGGATGGAAACCTCCAGTTGTTTCCCTACCAGTCTTTGCATCATTTGAGTTTGATTTGGGTTTAACCAGTATACCCATGGCCCCTCCACCTGCTCGTGGTTACAGATAGTCATCGCTTACTGACCACTCGTTCAGTGAGGATTTGAAATTATGATGGTGCAGCAAAAAACAAAGCAGCAAGGCACTTGTTTTGAGTTTCCATTGGTATATAGGGCTGAAATACTCAAAATGTCTTAATTTTTGTTGTGGTGGAGAACTCAGACTGTTTGTGCTTTGTTCTGTTGGAATGAAACCAACTTTGAATGTTCCATTAGAATGTTCTGAGTGTGCTCTTCCGTTCTAAATTCCGAACAAAATGCATTTCCCATTTTGGGCATATCTGAATACTCCTAAAGTAAGAAGCCTACAAAATATGGATCAATAGAAGAATAGCTTGAAAAAATGAATCACATATTTGAAAAGCTAAATAATCTTTTAGAAACCATTTAAGCAGAAAGATTCAGTATGGTGAGAAGAAGAGAAAGAGGCAATGGGTTGAGTAGATAAATGAGTATTTCCTATAGCCAAGATATAATCTGAATACCCCTAAAGTAAGAAGCCTACAAAATATGGATCAATAGAAGAATAGCTTGAAAAAATGAATCACATATTTGAAAAGCTAAATAATCTTTTAGAAACCATTTAAGCAGAAAGATTCAGTATGGTGAGAAGAAGAGAAAGAGGCAATGGGTTGAGTAGATAAATGAGTATTTCCTATAGCCAAGATATATGGAGGCAAGGAATTACATATTCATATGAAATAGCCAGCCAAATCTTTGGCTGCAGAACATCCAGTCTGTGATGTAGCACTGAAAGTATACTATTGTCAGGCCTAGCCCAAGGAACTCCAGGAGACCATGTAAATTCAGTTT